GATGAGGCATATTTGTAATTTCAAACAACTACCTCAGTAAATTAACAAATTTAAATCAAATCAGTCATCTGCATTCTCCATTTTTCTGCTCTCATGGTATCAGCTGTTACAAATAAAAATAAACAACAAAAGGCAGTTTGTACTTTTTAGAGAAACCAAACTGAGATGTTAGTAGGCTTCCCAGAATGCACTGTTTGAAAGTAAAAGCTCTCCGCATACTTTGTAAAACTTTATATTTCTGGCCATAAAATGGATGTTTAAATTTGAAGAACTTAAAAAAAAAAAGAAAAAAAATTGTTCAAAAAAGACAAAGGTTTACACAACAAATCATTTTAATTAAGATGAAGCATATTTGTAATTTCAAATGACTACCTCAGTAAATTAACAAATCTAAATCAACCAAAGATAAGAGTTTACCCAACACACATTATCACATTATTTAATGAAGATACAGTAACATGTAGTTGGGGTAGAAAAATGTTGTTTTTTTTAACTTGATTTAAAAATGTAAGGCTGTCATTCATATTTTGAAATTTAAACAAAAAATTAGGGGAATTAGGGATGGATGTGGTCAGGATTTCATCAATACTATTTTCAATATTTAATATCCTTATCAGTTCGTTTAATAAAAAAAAAATTAAATATACTGTATATACACAAATACATTCAGAACACGGTTATAATTTATATTTTATATATATATAATGAGAAACTTCTAATGCAGAATCACACATATCAACAACAGAAAACAACATAAGCTAAATAGTCTCTCCTCAAAAATAAATGTAAAATCTAAATTAAAAATTCTATACCTGACATGAAGTTAGAAAAGATAAGTATTCATCCTCTCCTATGCCCGCACTATGCCTACTGTTTACTACCACCAATAGCTACCTTCAAACCCCAATTCCAGGAAAGTTGGGACATTTTCCAAAATGCAATAAAAACTATAATCTGTAATTTGTTCATTTGTTACAAAGCATTAAAGGATGAACTTTCAGACCCACCCCATGAGCTCACTCCTCTCTGGGATCATAGAGTTTTTCTTTGTGTGTGTGATCACAAATAATATCTTTATTAATCACTGAATTCAGCAATTATATGATCATGTATTTTGCACAGTATTAACTTACCTATAATCATTGTGCTTTACGTATTTACTCTGGTAGCCTATAATGCTTGTTGAGTATTTTAAAGGCGTGTTACAGAAACAGCGTGTTCAAGCTCAATGTTCTCTCTACTATATTACACTGAGTGAGAGGAAATGTTAATTGTTAATGTCTGATCATTATCTTTTGACTTTTATTGATCTATATCTTACTTGTACCTCTGGAACCTTGTTTATTGTTAACCACTACAGTCCCCCCCTTCCACAGTTGTTATGGGAGCTCAAAATATGAAAAGTCAAAATATGACCATGTTGGCCTCTTCATAATATTGTACTTAGCCTTCTGCTCAGATTCATACAGGGTGTGGTTCATGTGTTGTAGGTGTAGTGATCTCCTGTGTAGCTTAAACTAGTTGCATCCTGTTCAAACTCAAAAAAGCAAAAGCAAAAGTAGCTTGAGTAAAGTTTAGGGAGAGGGTGAATATCCAAAACAAACACAGACACACCTGTGCAAATGAGAGAAGTACAAACACAACATGTACTGTATGTCTCAAAATTAACTGTATAAAATGACACATAACTTCCCATTCATAACAGTCAGACAAATGAACAAACATGAACATAAAAGTAACAACAACAAACAAAAATAAATAAAATGTTGAGAGAATTGTAAGAATTTATAAAATGTCCTTGTTAGCATGCAAAAAAAAAAAAAAAAAAATTAAAAAATGAACATTGTCCAAATTCCAAATGCCTTAATTTCCATTTCCCCTAACCCGTACCCATGTTACTCACACCTCTAAAATCCCACCAAAACAAAAATGAGGGTTATTTGTAGCTCATCAAAAATCCTTCATTTTATGGAATATCTTCACTTAAAGGGTATCAGAGTGTTTGTTGAAGCCTTCTGCCACTTAGAGTGAAGAGATTTTTAATAGGTTTAAAAAAATGTTTTCTTCTACTGTTCATTTTGAGAAGCCATGTTTCACTGAAATCTGCTGGCCTTTGCTTAAAATGCTTAAGAAAGTCTTAAAGACACATTATTTGTTACGGTGTCACGTCGATCGAGGTCCTGGCTTTGTTTGTTTACCTGTTCTCTTCCCTGCTCCTCTGTCACCGCAATTAGTCGCCATATCTGTCACCTGTTGCTTGTTATCTCCCGGTCCTGTCCTTTGCTGTTCTCCCTGCAATCAGTCATTACTCCTCCCACCTGCCGCTCATTGTCTCCCGGTCCCGTCAGATATATATACCACCCTGTCTGCCGCTGGGCTTTTGCTGGTTCATACGCATAGGATACGACACGCTACCATACGTTTATGCTACTCAGTCTATCAGCGCTTCTCGGTCTGTCAGTGTCAGTGATCTGTCAGAGTGTCAGTGCTACTCGGTCTGCCAGTGCTGAGTGACCCAGCCACCCTGGTCCTTCCTGGTGCTGTCTTCTCTCTGGTCTCCTGCTCGTCTCCTGGGTCCTGTGTTTGCCCTGCTGTCATCCCTCTTGGTTCCCGCCTGGTCTCCTCATCCCTCTTGGTTCCCGCCTGGTCTCCTCATCCCTCTTGGTTCCCGCCTGGTCTCCTCATCCCTCTTGGTTCCCGCCTGGTCTCCTCATCCCTCTTGGTTCCCGCCTGGTCTCCTCATCCCTCTTGGTTCCCGCCTGGTCTCCTCATCCCTCTTGGTTCCCGCCTGGTCTCCTCATCCCTCTTGGTTCCCGCCTGGTCTCCTCATCCCTCTTGGTTCCCGCCTGGTCTCCTCATCCCTCTTGGTTCCCGCCTGGTCTCCTCATCCCTCTTGGTTCCCGCCTGGTCTCCTCATCCCTCTTGGTTCCCGCCTGGTCTCCTCATCCCTCTTGGTTCCCGCCTGGTCTCCTCATCCCTCTTGGTTCCCGCCTGGTCTCCTCATCCCTCTTGGTTCCCGCCTGGTCTCCTCATCCCTCTTGGTTCCCGCCTGGTCTCCTCATCCCTCTTGGTTCCCGCCTGGTCTCCTCATCCCTCTTGGTTCCCGCCTGGTCTCCTCATCCCTCTTGGTTCCCGCCTGGTCTCCTCATCCCTCTTGGTTCCCGCCTGGTCTCCTCATCCCTCTTGGTTCCCGCCTGGTCTCCTCATCCCTCTTGGTTCCCGCCTGGTCTCCTCATCCCTCTTGGTTCCCGCCTGGTCTCCTCATCCCTCTTGGTTCCCGCCTGGTCTCCTCATCCCTCTTGGTTCCCGCCTGGTCTCCTCATCCCTCTTGGTTCCCGCCTGGTCTCCTCATCCCTCTTGGTTCCCGCCTGGTCTCCTCATCCCTCTTGGTTCCCGCCTGGTCTCCTCATCCCTCTTGGTTCCCGCCTGGTCTCCTCATCCCTCTTGGTTCCCGCCTGGTCTTGTTCCTGGGTCCTCGTTCTCCTGCCACCCAGCCTTGCATGTGTTTTGTGCAATAAACCACTTTCTTTGGGCTCCTCCTGGTCTGTGTCTGCAACTGGGGTCCACACCACACTCCCACGTAACATTATTATTATTATTGTCTCTCTTATCTCAAACACACATATGTTTGTTTTATCTTCAGTGTGGATATTGAGAATATATAACAATCAAGTCTTAACAAGACAGTTAAGCAATTGTAAGGAGCCCAAAATAGTATAGAAATACTAAACGTTCAAGCTCAGGCTAAACGACACCACCCGCGCCCTGCGGAAACGTTGCAGGAAGGCGGAACGTAAATGGAAGAAGGATGGCCTGCACGTCTCCCTGGACATTTAAAGGGACAGCCTCCTCTCATATCAGAAAGCTGTAAAAGATGCCAAACTTAATATTATTTCAAACAGCCAACATTCCAAGAGTTCTTTTCAAAACCATCAACCTTCTCCTCTAACATAGCCCCTCTTACCTCAGGCGTCCCTCAAGGCTCGATCCTGGCACCGCTACTTTTTTTCTTTATATATGTCATCACTTGCTTCAATTATATCAAGCCATAATGTTCATTTTCATTTTTATGCGGATGATATTCAGATTTACATGCCGCTGATACAATCCGATTCGAACGCACATACTCCTCTACATAATTGCGTTCCTGGCCTCGCCCCACGTTACCTGTTGGAGCTGCTATCTCTCTATGCTCCGTGCCAAATCCTGTGCTCCGCTGGGTACTTGTCCTTAGTTGTTTCGCAGGCCCGATCTAAAAAAAGGGGCTCGTTTGCTGTCTATGGTCCTAGACTCTGGAATTCATTACCACCTGAGATTCGGTCTATAACCAAGCTAGCGGTTTTTAAGTCTACTTCAAAAACTCACTTTTTTAAACAGGCTTTTGGTGTTTAATCCGTTTTATTTGCCCCAAAGGGACATGGTTTAACATTTTTTTAGTTGATACATACAGTATGTTCTATTGTGCAGCACTTTGTGCTCCCCGGAGTTGTAAAATGCTATATAAATAAAGCTTTATTATAATTATTATTATAAATACAGAGGATTATACTGTTGGAGCAGTTTTTCAACCATGTTGACTTACTGTTGGATTTCTAAATGAACAAAATTTGTTGGTTGGGTTACTACACTACCTAACATTGTGTGAAGTAGGGTAATAGACACTTGAAGTGTACAACAGCAGAACCATGTGAAGGTTTTGTTTTGTTTTGTTTTTGTTTTTTGTTACAAGACTAAGTAACACTGAAATCTTAATGACAAACAGTTTGCCCCAGTCCAAAGTCCTCATATCATGTACTGAACTAAAAGTTAACTTACAGTAGAGGGAGACGGTCATGATAATAACTCAAAGATTTCAAGTCCTGTATCCTTTTTCAGCAACTTGTTTTTCATATCTCCATACTGGGATAGGAGAGTAAAGCACACACTGCAAAAATCTGTACATATCTAACATTTTTGTTTGTTGGTTTCATAATTTTTGTCTCTAGAAAATAATAACAAAGATGGGGAAAGAACAAAGCACCCTGGCAAAGAAAGACTACGTAATAGAAGAAGAAACTGAAATATTTGCTGCTGTCACAAAGGGAGATGACAAATTTCTTGTGAAAAAGATAAAGGTAAGTGTTCCTTATCTTTATTACCCTTATTACACATCTAGATTCCAAACCAGCAAAGCAAAGCCCAATTCATAATCTTGTGAAGAGCACAAAATAAGTAAAACACAAGCTAAATATGTTTTGCTAGCACAGAGCTGGGTTTTTTCTTTGCCAGCTTTTGTCAGTACACAAACTTTGAAGTACAACAGCCACTGTAGTAAGTGGCAAAGTATACACTCAACATTAACACTACAAGAGCTTTGGCACCAAGCCATAGATTATCAGCAGTAAATTAGTATTTATATATTTTTTTTATCAATTTATTAATTTATTAACTCAATAACACAACATAAGAAAAAAAAAGTAGGGACAAGTGGAGGGTGTTTTTAAAGGAGATAGTTTGTTGACTACTTTGTCTCAGCCATACAACTTCAACCTGTGCATTGCCAGGCCATTCTTATGTAAATGGTATTTTTAACAGACACCCACAAACCAAGATTTCATCTCAGAAGCAGAAATCCTGAAGACAGTCAGTCATCCTCATATTGTGAGCTGGAAGAACTCCTTTAAAGGTAGGTTTTAGCAAATCTACAAGTTTTAATTTATTTATTAAAGGTAATGTCTGTACACAATATGCACACAAAAAGTTATAATATGAGTCTCAACATCAATTTTCATACCACGCTATATCGTGAAACCACTGGAACTTTACCCACAATTATCTCTGTCTGGACCCACATGACCCATTAATACAAGTCCAGTGACCTGACACAGCCTCACCCAGACAGTTAATGGTAACTAAACACAGGCCAGAGTCACTCACTTTAAAACACATCCAGATTATTAATGTAACGTACTGTCACTTTCAGATGTGAAAAACATTCACTCAGTCTTTCAAAGACCAAATGGGTCATGATATGTCTCCTTTTCCCCGCTGTTAGGTGCTTTATACCTGTTTTAATAATATGGTTTAGTTACCAGTGCGTGTTTGTGATTCACAATTGCCCACATTAGTGCATATATACTGTATGTCCCAATTTGGGTTGTGTCAGGAGGGGCATCTGGCATAAAAAAATGCTTGCCAAAATGTATACATGTGAACAGTTGCTTCGCTGTGGCAACCCCTAAAGGGGACAGCCGAGAGTAGTATTAGTAGTAGTAGCAGTGGGTGTTTGTACATGATGTTGCAAACAGCACTGCGTTTGTGAACGCAGCTCCATGCACCTGCTAGAGGGCGTTCTGCAGTGAGTGTTTGTGAATGCAGATATGCTGGGGCCTGTGCCGCCATTTAGCCTATTCCTTGCTGTGTACATAAGGACACCATCCTGTACAATGACTAAACTGCCAGTGTGTCTGTTTACACCAGTGGAACTGGGAAAATGTCAAGAAGTACAGTTTTTCATTTTAAAGCAACTTTTTCTTTGTTTGTATGTGCCCTCCAGTAACAACTGAGTAATTAAAGTTGTGTCTGCAGTGCCAAATAAAGGCACGTTCACACCATTCACACTAGATGATGATTTTTCCTTTACACTAACAAAGCATCATGGGATACGAGAAAGGTGGGGGTATCCTTTGAAAAAATAATTAAATAATTAATTAATTTAATAAAAATAAACTTTATTTACTCACATTTTTTTTATTTCACTGGTGAAAACAGGCACAAACTCACAGTTGTGTTGCAGTGCAGGAGATATAAAACCATGTCAAACATGTATAAACACTGAACAGCAAAAAAAAAGAAACAACTCATGACCCATTTGACTTTCATTATCAGTCAGCTCCCATTTGATGCTGATGTAAGACGAAGTTACACTGAAAACTGATTAAACATCTGTTCACATAATTGAATCTCTGCTGCATTATCACTTCTCTTTTATTACAAAACATGTCTATTTAATTTTGAAGTTTTTCACAACAATGTAAAAGGTTTCTGTTCTGGTCTCTGTTTTCAAACACAGATTAGTCACAAATGCATAAATTCAATAGTTGCAAACATAACAAAATAAAAGGCCTGGCACCTGATGTGAAGCACAGCTGTTGTATTAACAGGATTTCATGTAAAAATAGAAGCACTGCTAACGACAATGCACACAGACTGCATCTGACATGCGTCACAACATACTCATTCTCAATGCAAGCCCACACACTGGTAGGGAACTGGCATCAGGACATGCCGCTGTCCTATTTGCCTGGCTTCAATGTACATCAAAAGCATAAAATACCAAAGTACATACTCATTCCCGTAGTTCCACACTGAATTCACACCACTCCCAGCATGTGTTACAGGTGTCATGTGATGCGTGTTGCATCTCGTCATGTGATCCCCTCAGTGTGTTGCCCTTTAACAAAATTAATCACAGTAAACAATTCAATGAAAACTACAATTCTGAATTTTAAATGCTAACAACAATTCAAGAATGAGCTCAGACAAAAATACAAAACTACTACTACTTTGTGCTTAACTTGAGAGAGATATTGTACACAGTTATGTTCTGAAGATGTGTTTTAAAATACTTCTTTCCTGTTTTGCCATAAAGATGAAGATGAGAGCATCTACTACGCAGTGACTGATTATTGTCATGGAGGAAACCTCGCTGACAAGATCAAAGATGGATCACAAGAGTTTCAGGTACAGTGTTCTTGTGCAGAGGTAGTTTCCAAACTACATCAGTGAAACATTTTGCAGCAGCTGTACACATATTTTACAGTTATACAATGAATTAACTTGAAGTAACCAGACAGTTTAACTGTAAACAAATGAATATGTATTATATGTAAGTGAATCTTATGTCCATATCAACTAATGCTAGGAGGAGGAAACTGTATTTAAATATAGCAAAGATAAAACTGTTACCCACAGTGACACTGGTAGCCTGAGTCAATAGGGGAAATGAGAAAAGAGGAAGTGCAATAATAATTGCACAGAAAATAAAGAGGTGGTTAAAGTCAAAAGAAAGAGTGAGGGCATGAGAGAGAGAAAGCAAAGACATGTTTGTGAGTTTGTACAGAGGGGGAAGAAAGAGGCAGCCTGTGTCGAAGCCAGAAGGAGTTCTCTCTGCTGGACAGAAGGTTTTAATAACATTGTGTAACAGAATGCATCCCTATTCTCTGTGACAGCATTCAGTGAAACATTTCTTTCCTGTTGTAAAACTTATAAGGATTTTTAAATTCTTTGCTGAGCGTTGCAAACATGTTGCTGTTTATCAACTGTAGATGTCGCAAAGTAACACAAATGACAACATTTCTGATGCTTAACTACATTTTATAATGTTTAAAATAGGAACTAAAGATTGAATATAATTACATATGTAAATTAATATTTGACTACTTTAGTTTGTTTGCAAGTGACTGTAGTATTAGTACTGTAGTATACTACCCTCCAAGTCTGTATGCTACATGACTCTGCAGAGGCAAATCACCCTCCACCTTAAGTTGGATGGTCTTTGGCCTTGTGTCATCCTTTACAATCACACAACATACAACTTGTC